TGTGGAGGGCAAGGCCTTGCTTTGTTCCCCAGCTGTGTCCTTGCTGCTTAGAACTGCAAATGGCATACAGTAGTCACTCAACAAATATCTGTAGAGTGACTAACACGTAGGCTTGTGGGTTGCCTTGGGGAGCAATTATCGGTCCTGGTGCCAGGTTTGGGGTTTTCATGGTGCTGTGACTCCTTTCATACCTTGCCTGGCTAATGGTTTCATCTTTGTTGCCTGTTTACTCATGCCTTTACTGCTGCCAGGAATCTTGTCAAGTCACAGGCTTTGATTACCACAGGCCTGCTGAAGGGAACTTCCGGGGCTGGATGTGCAGCAGCTTGGTACAGCCTCGGGGTAGGGAGGCACACGCTCCCGCCCAATGCTCGTCATGGGTGGAAACACTCACGTCTGTCTAGCTATGCTGTGGAGTGGCTCTGGGATTAGGGTGTCCCTGATTTCTCTGGCATCTGTTAAATACCCCTATTCCAGTAGCCAGGGAGCCACAATTTTGTTTTGTTTTGTTTTGTTTGAGACGGAGTCTCACTCTGTCGCCCAGGCTGGAGTGCAGTGGCGCCATCTTGGCTCACTGCAAGCTCCACCTCCTGAGTTCAAGCGATTCTCCTGCCTCAACTTCCCGAGTTCCCGAGTAGCTGGGATTATAGGCATATGTCACCACGCCCAGCTTATTTTTTGTATTTTTAGTAGAGATGGGGTTTATCCATGTTGGTCAGGCTGGTCTCGAACTCCCAACCTCAGGTGATCTGCCCTCCTCAACCTTCCGAAGTGCTGGGATTACAGGTGTGAGGCACCGCACCCGGCCCACAGTTTCTAAAGTAGTAATTTAGCCCTAGAAACAGCAGGGAATGTGGTTATAAGAGCAGTCACAATGTTCTCAATTATTGGACTCCCTGGCTTCAGACAGAAACGGTTGTGTCCTATCCCTTTTTTTTTTCTTTTTTTTTTTTTGAGACGGAGTCTCGCTCTGTCACCCAGGCTGGAGTGCAGTGGCCGGATCTCAGCTCACTGCAAGCTCTGCCTCCCGGGTTCACACCATTCTCCTGCCTCAGCCTCCTGAGTAGCTGGGACTACAGGCACCCGCTGCCACGCCCGGCTAATTTTTTTGTGTTTTTAGTAAAGAGGGGGTTTCACCGTGTTGGCCAGGATGGTCTCCATCTCCTGACCTCATGATCTACCTGCCTCGGCCTCCCAAAGTGCTGGGATTACAGGCGTGAGCCACCACGTCTGGCCAACTGAAGTCCTTTTTTAAAAATTTATTGCTTTATATAAACTGTTTTCTTTATTTCTTTTTTGAGACAAAATCTCTCTCTGTTATCCAGGCTGGAGTGCAGTGGCACAGTCTCTGCTCACTGCAACCTTCACTTCCCAGGTTCAAGTGATTCTTCTGCCCCAGCCTCCCAAGTAGCTAGGATTACAGGCGCCCGCCACCACACAGGCTAATATTTGTGGGGGTTTTTTTTTTGTTTTTTTTTTTGAGACAGCGTATTGCTCTGTTGCCCAGGCTGGAATGCAGTGGCGTGATGTCAGTTCACTGCAACCTCTGCCTCCTGGCTTCAAGCAATTCTCCTGCCTCAGCCTCCCGAGTAGCTGGGATTACATGCACGCACCCCTATGCCCCACTAATTTTTGTATTTTTAGTAGAGATGGGGTTTCACTATGTTGACCAGGCTAGTCTCAAACTCCTGACCTCGTGATCTGCCACCGTGCCCCGCTAATTTTTGTATTTTTAGTAGAGATGGGTTTTCACCATGTTGCCCAGGCTGGCCTCGAACTGCTGACCTCAGGTGATCCACCCTCCTCGGCCTCCCAAAGTGTTGGGATTACAGGCATGAGCCACTGCACCCTGCCTTTTTTTTTTTTTTTTTTCAGGGGGCATAGGGTTTCACTCTGTTGCCCAGGCTGGAGTATAGTGGCATGGTCTTGACTCACTGCAGCCTCTACCTCCTGGGCTCAAACAATCCTCCCATCTCAACCTCCTGAGTAGCTGGGCCACCATGGCCAGCTAATTTTTTATGTTTTTGTAAAGATGGGGTTTTACTATGTTGCCCAGGCTGGTCTTGAACTCCTGGGCTAAAGCGAGCCACCCGCCTCAGCCTCCCAAAGTGCTGGGATTACAGGCATGAGCCACTGCCCCCGGCCGAACTTGAGAACTAGAATGTGTCTTTTGTGCACTACAATGTCACCAGACCGGGAGCAGTGCCCAGCACTCAGTAAATGTCTTCCTGAATGGATTAGTGTAGCACCAAGAGAAAGACTGCTGTCTCCCCCACCCCTCCTCTCTTCTCTTACCCAAAACAAAGTAGCTGGAGGCAGCAAAGAATTGCTGGCAGCCTGGAGAGCAGTGTGGAGTGCGGGAGAGCTGGGGACCCTAAGGCAGCTTCCGGGCATCGGAGAGAAGAGGCCCCTCAGGGCCTGGGCCAGCCTGCGCCCAAGCAGAGAGCATCAGGAAAGCTGTTCCTGACAACGCCCCTCTAAGGTTAAAGCCAGCCCCATTCCGGCCCAGCACGGTGGCTCACACCTATAATCCCAACACTTTGGGAGGCTGAGGCAGGTGGATCACCTGAGGTCAGAAAAAATACAAAAATAAAAATTAGCTGCACGTGGTAGCACCTGCCTGTAGTCCCAGCTACTCCAGAGGCTAAGGCTTGAGAATGAACCCGGAAGGCGGAGGTTGCAGTGAGCTGAGATCGTGCCATCACACTCCAGCCTGGGAGACAGAGCGAAACTCCATCTCAAAAAAAAAGCAGGCGGCCTGGCGCGGTGGCTCAAGCCTGGAATCCCAGCACTTTGGGAGGCCGAGACGGGCGGACCACAAGGTCAGGAGATCGAGACCATCTTGGCTAACATGGTGAAACCCCATCTCTACTAAAAATACAAAAAACTAGCCGGGCGAGGTGGCGGGCGCCTGTAGTCCCAGCTACTCAGGAGGCTGAGGCAGGAGAATGGCGTGAACCCGGGAGGCGGA